AAAAAAAAAAAAAAAAAAAAAAAAAACTTGAAGACCCTGGAGAACACCGAGGCAGCGAGGACTCAAGGAACCAAGAATCCAGGGAGAGAGGAAGTGCAGACAGCAGAGGCTCACGTTTATCTCTGCTTTCACCCCTGTATGGCACTTGCCAATTCCAAGGCCTGATGTTGAATTTAGAAACGTTTTTTCTTTTCTATTCTGCCTCTTTATCCTCATCGTACGAAAATTAAAGACAGAAGGTCAGTGACTTGCCAAAGGTCACGCTGAGTCATTACAAACAGCCAACATTACAAAGTGCCCCCTGTGTGCAGGCAACGTTCTCAATGCTGTAGTGTTTTAATTCACTCGATGCAGCAGGCACCGTTATTGTCCCCAGGAGGAAACTGAGGCTCAGAGAGTTTTGGTGAGTTGCCTAAGGTTGCAGTGATGGTAGGTGTTAAGTGAGATCTGAATGCAGGTGGCCAGTGGCCAGGGCTGTGTCCCTCACCATGATGTGGTACTGCCTGCCGCCCAGTACTCCCCACCCTCCCCTCTCACAAGGGCTTCAGAAGCTTCCAGATCCTCTAATCCTGTCCCAGAAATAAATGAAAAAAATATGTGGCCTTGCATTTTTTTTTCAAATCAATCTCAATCTCTGGATTTGTATATCGGCAAGCAGCTCCACCCATGTCCCCAGATTCTCCAATCTATGTGAATGCCAAATGTTCAGTACCTAGGTCTTTACTAGAAAAGGGCTCCTGGATTTTTTTGCTTCCTTTGTGGGCCTTCTTCTCCTTCCTCCTCTGGGGGATTGTAACATATTAGACCCAGCTGCTTCTTTCTTTTTTAAAAAATAACTTTCGTAAGTTTTTTTGTGCATTATTGTGAAAGTTATGCAAGCTGCTGATAAAATCTGGAAAATGCAAACAGTTAAAAGGAAGAAAACATGTAATACCACTGCTGGGGGTGACTGTGGCATCCACCATTCCAACCTTTCTTCTCTGCATACTTCTTTCTTTCAAAAAAAAAAAAAAAAAAAAAATTTTTTTTTTTTTTTTTTTTTTGGCAGTGGGAAAGTACAGAGATCAAATGCTGGACCTTGGTGTTTGTATGACTTTCCTTTTAACAACTGGAGTAATTTCCCATATATTGCTTTGCAAACTAGTTTTCACATTGAACAGCACAATGCAAACCTTATGCCTCACTGACTATTCTTTTATAAGATTTTTATTACATAGACTCAAGCATATGGATAACCTTAATCACATTTCTAAATTTCTACTGCTGTAAACATTGTTGAAATGCATATCCTCATAGCTGAAATGGTGTACAATCTTGG